TGGATGGTATATATATATATATATATATATATATATATATATATATATATATATATATATATAGGGTGGTGGCCATCTTGGATTTTGACGTGGCAACCCAATTATTGAAAGCAAACTTTCTTACATACATGCAGCCACACACCCAAATGGAAGTCTTTGCCACATTTACAGTATATTTGAAGTTATGCTCACAACATGCTCAGACGGACTGATGGAGGGTATTTCCAATTTCTCCTCTTCGCTGCATGACAGAGGACAAAAAATGACAAAAAGCTGACTGAACACCTGACTGTTATTAGTTGATGGATCTTTAATGGTTTGATGTTCTTGAGCTGTAATGGTTTGACATTCCTGTTGTTTTCAAATTGAAACAGTTCAGTTTTTAAGAAACCCTAGATTTTCCCCAAGTCTTGTTTAAAAAAAAAAACAAAAAAAAAACACAAGTGTTTACTTAAAACTTCAATTCAGTCAGACATTAAAAAAAAGTTTTATATTTGTACTTTATAGGGCAGTAATATTGTTCAATATTCATATCAGCTGCGTTTGAGAACTGCCTGTATAAATGCCACATATGAGATAACAACGTCTTAATAATGAATGGAAGCCGAGCAAGCAGCTGAATTAGTGCTGGCCTGAACATCAGACATTCAAAACTCTATTATTCCCCTTTGACCTTTGTCTCTGGCAGACAGGGGGAAGAGGACGGTCTCCAGTTTGTCAGAAAAACAAGGGGAATGGGAGTTAATAAGCAGAACTCCTCGGCAAACACTAGGAGTCATTATGAACGGGAGGCAATCACACAGATCAAATATACACCAGAGGGAAATGGAGCTGAACTCCAGAGTCTAAAACTGGAGGGGAAATACAAATTGAAGAGGCTGGTAAACATAATAATGCATGTAATCATCTGTTTAAATGCAGATATTGAAGACGAGCGTTGACTGATGTGGACAGAGGAGACATGAGGAGCTGGAGGAGAAATGGTCTAAAGTTACAACTCCACCACGGCCGAGCAGCAGCTCAGAGGGTCGCCTGCTCTGCTTCTGTTTGCAGACTTGCTGCAGGTCCGTGCATGAGCAGCACCATCGTTCTGGCAATGTGACTGATTGATCCAGTATGATGAACAGTAAAGATTAAGAGGATGACAAATAGGCATGCTGCTTACACAGCGCTTGGGGCTAATCCTCCAGCCTCCACCCCTCGGGGCTTCCTTTTGAGGACCTGCTGCTGAGGAGGACCCAGAGAGAACACACAACCTGTTGGTGTGCAACAAGTGTCGTTTGGAGCTCATGGCAGGACCCCAGCCCCTCTGCATCACCTCTGCACAGTAGAAGCTCCCAGCTGTCCATCAGCAGCAAGTTCAAGGACCGTTTTAAACTCAGAAGGAGATCATCATTTTTCCTCATCCGTCAGTCATTCAGAGAGACATATCTAGTGGAAGATGATGGAGGATCACCTGTCGAAGATCCCCATGGTGCCGTCCTCGTCCCCCTCTGAGTCCTCTGGGAGTGGTGGGACTGAGGACAGCAGAGGAGGTAAGAGATGCCAATGTCCACGAGGCCTGAAAGACAGGATGTAAGCTCAACAAAAACTAAACTGAACTGAATTTCACGCTCGTTAACTCTGAAATATTCAAATCTGAATTGAACTGAAACATCACAATTGTGTACATTAACATCCTGATGCATGCTCAATAATCCAGGTAGAAAAAACATGTACGTGTACATTTACCTTAATTTAGAGTTAGGTGCAAATTATATGAATTTTTTAAAATGATAATATTGAAACATTAAAATAAAGCAGAAAGTCCTGCATGTCTTTGCATCTATAAGAGCTGGTCTGTGAATGAATGCATGATGTTATCCTATCCATTTTATTATTAATCTCATAACTAGGCACTAAATGATATTTTCACATGTTTCAGTAATGACTTGTTTACAGTGCAGATGGAGCTGTTGGTGCAGATGGTCTGTGCCTGGGTGGAACAATGGCCGGCTGGATGAATGATACTAACGGACAGCGGGCCCTGTGTGTTTGTGTTTGACCCACAGCCAAGAGTCCGGCTCCAGGCAAAGCTCTGAGCCCGGCCCTGGTGTGCAGAGTGTGCGGCGACACCAGCAGCGGGAAACATTACGGCATCTATGCCTGCAACGGCTGCAGCGGCTTCTTCAAACGCAGCGTGAGGAGGAGGCTCATCTACAGGCGAGTCCCAAAACAGCTCCATCACTCAGAACCAGGAGTAACCTGCCAGGTGCATTCTGGGAAAGCAAGACACCTGCTCAATTTTCTGTGCAGAACCAACAAAATGAGGATATTTTTAAACATGTTGTCGTTTTAGTCCAGAACCTTGCAGGGAATGATTAAAAAGCAGAAGAAAAGTTTCATCAAGGTTCAGGTTATTAAAAATAATTTTATTTTCAGGTACTTAAGAAAGTGTCAAACAAAAACTAGAATAAAAATACTCAGATTTTACTGAAGAAAATACAGTTTGCAACTATATGACAAAAAATATGAATATATTATTTACAGACAGTGCTTTATCAACACATTGCGATTCATAATCCTTTCACTTTATCAAATATAAAAAGTTGTTAGCTTTTCAGTAGAATAGAAAGAAAAATATTTAATTCTAATGGGCTGAAAAAATAATTTAAATGAATAAAAGAGGAATATTTTGTGGTTTAGTTTGTTACAGTTATCTAAAATATTATTACAGTTTATGTATGGGATCAGTTAAATGTGCAAATGTTATAATAAAAACAGAGTTATAGCTCAGTTTAAACAATTACTGGTGAATAGTTTTCAAGTCAAATTATGACTTTTTTCTATTTTATAAAAAAAACAAATGTCATTTGTGTAAAAAGCTTTAAATATAAAACATTTAGTGGAAACAACACACAGCACTACGGCCCTGACTTTAAGAACTGCTGAATTCAACATGTTTTAATTAGTTTGATTGTTTTTCTGCATTTTTATACATTTTAAATTTAGATGTAACTTCTCAAGAAATCTCCAGGCCTCCAGGTGTAGACGTAGTTTGATTTATTTTTGTGTGGACTTTCAATTTAAAAGGCTTCACTCTGGGTTTACAGGTGCCAGGCTGGTACCGGTAGGTGTCCAGTGGACAAAGCCCATCGGAACCAGTGCCAGGCCTGCCGACTGAAGAAGTGCCTGCAGGCGGGCATGAACAAGGATGGTGAGTTGTTGGACACCTCATTGAAAACTGACGGATAAAAACATCCTCTATTCATTTTACTTACTCAAAGAAGCCCAGTCGATGACAGGAGAAGGTTTTTACACAGTTTTACTTGTAAGGACAGATTTTCACAACAGATCACACAGATGTACAGACGCATAGAGCCCAGTCACAAGAATCTGACAGGGGCAGTATGCGACATTTGTTTTTATAAGCTTATCCTTCAAGCTCATAGGCAGACTCACAGACAGACTCACAGGCAGACTCACAGACAGACTCACAGACAGACTCACAGACAGACTCACAGACGGACTCACAGATATACTCACAGACGGACTCACAGATGGACTCACAGACAGACTCACAGACAGACTCACAGACATACTCACAGACATACTCACAGACAGACTCACAGACAGACTCACAGACAGACTCACAGGCAGACTCACAGACAGACTCACAGACAGACTCACAGACAGACTCACAGACAGACTCACAGACAGACTCACAGACAGACTCACAGACGACTCTTGGACTGTCAAACCAGCTCCTCATCTCTGCTAACTCAAACGAATGGTTCATGGGCCTAGTCATTAAAAACATCCATAAACCTTGTCCAAAAATCCACTAACAAAAACCTTTAGCTGTATTTCAGACCTTGTCCTCAGACCTAACATCCCCCCATCACCCCCCCCCCCCCCCTCTGTCTTGGGTTTTGTCTCTCAGCCGTGCAAAATGAGCGTCAGCCCCGTAGCACATCTCAGGTCCGCCTGGACTCCATCGATGTGGATCCTGAGAAGGAGCACCTGGCCACCACACGAGAGCCCACCTCCTCTTCTTCCTCGTCCTCCTCCTCTTCTTCTTCCTCCTCCTCCTCCAGTGGCTCTGTCATCACGTGGCCCCACATCACCTCCTCCATGTCCATCACCTCCTCCGTGGCCCCCCAGCACTGCGTCAGTCCCCAGAACAACCACCGCTTCATGGCCAGCCTGATGACGGCAGAGACCTGCGCCAAACTGGAGCCCGAGGACGGTGAGGTTCAGGATTATAGATTATAGATTAGATTTTAAACTGAAACTCTCAACTACCTTTAAAGTTTGAAAATTTACAGAAAAACAGACATTAAAGGAGTTAATCTTGATTCTGAAAGTTTGATGGGATTTAAAAACATCTTATCGACTGCAAAGGATCAATAAAAGTCACATTTTTAGTTCCCTTCATTTGTTATACAAGTTTCAGAGTCGGTTGTTGGATAAACGTGGCAGACTGTAGAGGCTCAGCAGGAAATGTGAATGTTTTTCCACTTTTAGAGACATAAAATGGAAATCATAACGCTTCAATCAGTTGGAAATAAGTTGATGTTTGAATTCTCTCATAATCTCCATTATCTGTTATAACACTCAGTAATTTTTATTATTTTATTAAGCTGAGTTTGTTAGCAACAACTGATTTTTTTTTTATCTCTTAGTAAATGTTTTATCTTTTATTTTCAAATCATCAAACTTTAAAGCAAACTGAAGTTTAAATCTTCCTGAAGTTGGCTTTTTGGTCTCAGAAAGTTTTTCTCCCGTGATCTTTTCATTCTGACCTCATCTTGACCCTTCCTTCCTTAGATAGAGAACTTTACTAATTGGCTTTTATCTGTATGTGAATGTTTCTGTTCAGTGCCCTGAGACAACTTCTATTGTGGTTTGGTGCTTTATAAATAAAATTAAATGAATTGAATCTTTCCTTTTAGTGGATGAAAACATAGACGTGACGAGCAACGAGCCGGAGAGGCCGTCCTCGGAGTACCACATGGCTCTGTACCCATCCAGCTCGGAGAACGTGTACGAGACCTCGGCCAGGCTGCTTTTCATGTCGGTGAAGTGGGCCAAGAACCTGCCGGTCTTCTCCAACCTGCCCTTCAGAGACCAGGTGAGCCTCCCACTCTGAGCCTTTTATGGGCCTCTCCCATTAGTAACGGTACAGCATGGTTCAACTTGACTCAGCACGGTTCTAAGGCTTTTCCCCTAGCAATGGTTTGTGGAACAGTCCCTTTTTCAGTCCCTTTTACCCCTTTTCCATTAGTACCTTTAGTAATGGTACAGTATGGTTCGACTCGGCTCGGCAATCCAGGTATAATATCCAACAATGTTCAGTCAGGTCATCTGGACGGTTTCTTTTTTGTGCTGAGATGTTTCGCCCTCCATCCGAAGGACTTCATCAGTCTGAGGAAACACCAAACAAAACTGATTCTCCACCAACAGCTTACTCCAAAGTAGAAAGAAACAGTTATGTTGGTGCGAAGATGGCCTCTGGGGCACATCCTCTCCTCCAGTTCCCGCCCTCTGTTGGATTGTATACCTGGATTATTGAGCATGGACTGTGGTGTTTTGAACCAGTTTGACATGCCTGTCAATGAGGGAGAGGGGGGCACCGGAGGAGAGTGCATGCCTCAGAGACCATCTTAGCACCAACATAACTGTTTTTTCCATTTTGGAGTAAGCTGTTGGTAGAGAATCAGTTTGTTTGGTGTTTCCTCAGACTGATGAAGCCTTCTGGATGGAGGGCGAAACGTTTCAGCACAAAAAAGAAACCGTCCTGAACATTGTTGGATTTAATACGTGGATTGTTGAGCATGGACTTTGGTGTAATGAAAACACAACTCATACTGTGCCGAGCCGAATCGAACCGTACTGTACCCGTATTAAAGGTACTAATAGAAAAGGAGCACTCTGAGGTCACCCCTTATCAAGTTTAAAAGGTGTATGTTGGGTAATCTTTTCTTTTGTATTAATTATGTTTAAAAATGATTTTTTAAATATAACTAGATTACAGAATCTCAAACTCTCTTTTGCTTTAACATACAGTAAACAATAAACATCTCTGTGTAAATCACATGACAACCACAAAAACAATAAAACATTTTTTGTGACCGTTTCTTGGTAAATAATTTTGTTGGTTGTTAATAATCTTAACTAATTAAACAAATTCAACATTTTTTTTGCCCACAATCAAAGAAAACGTGATTTTTAGCGAGTGAGTGCTCGCTCTGTACCAACATGTTTTTCAGCACTTTTCACGAAATGATGCATGGCTGTTTACATCTATTATAGATAAAAAGAAAAAAGAAATTGCCTGCTCATTTTCATCATTGTCAAATTTCACCAAACGTTTGAGTCAGAAGGTATTTCAAAACTTAATAATTAATTATTTAACTTGATCTATTCTTTTATTTCTTTATATTGTCTGAATTTATGTTAAAATGTAAAATAATAAGCAATTTAAAAGCAAGAAGACGGCGTTTTTATCCTTCTTGTAAAAACTAATAATTTATTTGACTCTGGATTAAAATACAAGTTTGAAGTTCAATTATTTGTTGTATTTTTCTGTCAGAAACTGTTTTTTGAATCTTATTTCTACAGATTAATTGATGACTCCATGCAGTTTATTCCAGGGGTTAGTTTAACTTCAGTTTGTTGTGTTCCTGCAGGTGATCCTGTTGGAGGAGGCGTGGAGCGAGCTCTTCCTGCTCTGTGCCGTCCAGTGGTCTCTGCCGTTGGACAGTTGTCCCCTTCTGTCTCTGCCTGACCTTTGTCCAGGCATGCAGGGCAAGACCAGCTACACCAGCCTGGACCTGCGCCTCCTGCAGGAGGTCTTCAGCCGCTTCAAGGCCTTGGCTGTCGACCCCACCGAGTTCGCCTGCCTCAAGGCCATTGTGCTCTTCAAGCCAGGTATCACATGACGGATGTCAGCCAATCATATTTAGTACTATCAGGAGAAATTTGAGCTTAAGGCCTCAGCTACATTACTCCAGTACAGTAAGAATAGAGCATTGTGAACCGGCAGCACACCGGACACTTGTGTATGCATATGTATACATATAAATGTATATATATATGCATGTATATACATATATATACATGCATATATATATGTATACGTATATATGCATTTTTGATTATTTCATATGTTTTTCTTCTTCTTTTATTTGTATAATTAGAACATGTTAATGGTTGCCTTGAATTTTACTCTGTCTATCTATCTATCTATCTATCTATCTATCTATCTATCTATCTATCT